ACACACACACACACACACACACACACACACACACACACACACACACACACATCGCTTGGATTTTTTTCCCTTGATAGGTCAGAATCTCCACTTCGTTACATGTATCAGCAGTTGCCATGGAATGACCCACCTGTACCGCAGCTTCCTTTCGACATCAGAAACATTATACCAACCATTGTATTGTCCTGACCCACTACAAACCGTCATGACATCTGGGTTATTGTCACCCCCCCCCCCTCATCCACCCTTTGTTTTCGCACCCGCACAGCCAAATGCTGACCTAAATCTGCACAAATCTAGGGTAGGAGAGAAATTAAGCGCCTGGTAGGCCTGATATTCAAATTATCATTATCAGTGTCGATAAAGTAACGAGAACACTCACCACGCTCACTCCACTAGTCGGCTCTCGAAGAGGACAGCCGAGGTTAAGCTTTTAGAGGTTTAGTTTTAGTAGAGGTTTTACGGCGCTCGCAACTGCATAAGGTCATAATATGAGTGCCAGAAGATTGCAGGTGTTACAAGAGAGTAACAAACATAAAAAAAGAAGAAGGGGAGATAAGGACGATAGATGTTTGATAGGAAAGAAGAAGCAAACCACACCAGAGCACCCGCCAACCACCCACTTAGGTTTCTCGGCGTTCGCAATAGCATTAGATCATATCAGCGCACATGGGTGGATGTCAACAGATAAGTCCAAACGGGAAATCAGGCTTACTCAGCTCACCTCTCGAGCCTCAACAGCACAAAGTCTGCTTCGACTATCAAAGCACCCTGGAAATAGCAGCTCACAACAGAGTGACAAGCACAAAAAAGGAAGGAAGAGAGATCCATAAGGATGACAGGCGTTTGATAGGAAAGAAGGAGCAAATCACACCACAGCTCCCGCCAGCCACCCACAGAATGAATGAATACCGTACGCTGCCGACCTTTCAAAATCGAATGAGAGTCGAATACGACTCAGTGTCAACATTACTTAAAATTAGGAGAGGCTGACAACAGCACAGCAGGGACGGCGTTATCACCTCCATCTGCCCTAGTCTACTCGTATATATGGACATTGCACATGAACTCAAGTATACACGCACTTTAAAAGATGGCGAAAGATCTCATCACTTTGTCAATGTTTGAGAGCTTAATTGGCTGCTTGCACTGTGTGCTTCCAGGAAAGCCGAGAATGTCTCTGAGCGTTACATAGGGTCTGCAGGGGTAAAAATATTAGTTTTTTTTAAATAGTGTTAGTAGAAGTTTTACGGCGTTCGAAACTGCATAAGGTCATACGAGCGCCATAATAATATTAGAGTAAAGGGCATACAGATTGCTGTCCAGCGGGGATATGCGTTGTACAAATGCTGTTTATTACTATTTAAAACACACAAAAAGGTTGACGTGGCGTCGGTGGCTTAGTGGTTCGACTCTCGGACTCGCAGCAGTAAGGTCGTGGGTTCCAATCCCGTCAGAGAACCAATGCTATGTCCTTAGGATATGCCCTTAACACAAATAGAAAGTGAAAGATCGTGTCAGTGTTTTGGGGTTTTTATTTGTTTTAGTAGAGGTTTTACGGCGCTCGCAACTGCATAAGGTCATATGAGTGCCAAGGGGTGGATGTCAACAGAGAGGTCCTTACAGGGAACACAACCATTTTGGTCGCTTTTTAAAAGAACAAGGGGGCTATCCCGAAAACTGCAGTTTTGAGAAAATCGAAGGTAAAGTTTTTGGACCCGTGTTCAGTTCCTTCAAAAGATAAGGAGAGTTTTCACTGTAACCAAACAAATATACACACAAATGAAACCAAACGTCTCCTTGGGTAGATAGGGCAATGCCCATCTTTGGTGTCGGTCAAGATTTCTGGAAACCCCAGAAATCTGGGATAGCCCGCTAGTCCTTAAAAGCGACCAATTTTGAGACTCTTGAAACTAACACTATCCCTTCGAAGAAAAGACAGGGTTTTCCGTTTACTCCCACCTCTCAGCAAACAAGCTAGCGAGAGCCAAAACGGCGATAAAAACCGTTAACAGTGTCAAGCACTTCACTTGGGGGTGAGGATGTCGGGAC